ATATTAAATTATTCCTTCCATTGTACTTTGTTTCAATTAATATATTTACTTACATTAAAAGAAAAAATTTAATTAATATGTAATCTAACTTCATAATATATGGGAGCCAAAGTCATACTTCCATTTTTAAGTTTTCAAAATCAAAGTTACTGTGGTAGGATTCAATGGGATAAACTTACACAAATTAACTTTTTAAAAATTCATTTTTTCATGTTTATTCTTCAGGTGGCCTACCTTATCCAACAAAATGTTATCCCACCTTTTTGCAACTTGCTGACTGTAAAAGATGCACAAGTTGTACAAGTAGTACTTGATGGACTTAGTAATATATTAAAAATGGCTGAAGATGAGTCAGAAACCATAGCCAATCTTATAGAAGAGTGTGGAGGTAAGTTTAATATAAGTTAATATTCTACATTTTAATGTTCTTTTTGTAACTGCCTTTATTTCTTTACTAATGTAACATTTCTGTATTTTTCTTAACCAAGGTACAATTGTTCTATATGTACTTTGCTCAGTTTTTGCATATGTTTACTTAACTGAATTACACCTGTATATTGAAGGAACACTATGCTCTAAGGCAGCGGTTCTCAACCTGTGGATCAAGACCCACTTGGAGGTCCAACACCCCTTTCACAGGGGTCGCCTGATTCATAACAATAGCAAAATGATAGTTATGGATTAGCAACGAAAATAATTTTTGGGTTGAAGGGGTCATCACAACATGAGGAGAACTATATTAAAGGGTCATGGCATGAGGAAGGTTGAGAACCACTGCTCTTAAGTTATTGGAGAAATAGTGGTAAAACAAGATGAAGTCCTTGCTCTTGAGGCATGTAGTCTAGTCATGAAGTTAAGCTTAAGTTAATTTAGTGTACTAATTTCCCTAATAGAAATGTCCTACAAAACGTGATACCTAATGCATCCTTGAAGAAACAGAAAAGTGGCACCTAAGCTGAATTTTGAGTGATGAATAAGAATTAATAATGTAAAAAGTGCTGAACGTTATTCCAGGCAAAGATAACTTTGTTCTATGAGCAAAGTCTGAGGTGAAAATGGCCTTCAGCAAATTACAAGTACTTCAGAGTTGCTGAATGTGGGATTGAGCTATGTAGAGATGAGGCTGGAGAGATACAATAACCAGATTACTGCCAAAGTCTGCAAAGCTTTGTAGCACAGCAGATATTTTTTCTGTAGGGCAGTAGTTTCCAAATAGTATACCAGAACCATCTGGAATATAAATAACACATATTAACTACAACTCAGAGTTACCGTAAGGCCAGAACATGGTAGCCCAATGTGGCTGGGGCACAGTACCAATGTTATCAACCTTGATAAACATTAAAGGTGTTTCTGAGAAATTGAGAAGGGAATGAAAGGAGAGACAACTGCTGAGAGCGGCTTCTTATTTGGTGAAGAAGTCAAGAGACACAAATTATGGGGACAACACTGGAGACACAGTGCGGGAATTGTGCCCGATCTGACCCCACCACACCCAACGCGAAACACTTAAGGACGTGCAACAGAACAGCAAGGGGAGCAGACCAATGAAGTCCCCCAAAGAATAACAGAAATAGACTTTGGGGTCAGCATGAGGCACCCCATCAGACTCGACCTGAAAACACTCCTAAATGTCAACAAACAGACCTTGAACTATTTACAGGATTTTCTTTTTTTCCCTTTTTTGGTCGTCGTTTTTTTTTTTTTTTTTTTTTTTTTTA